TGAAATGTGATTGTTGTTATTATTATTATGTTGTTGTCGTTGCTGTTGTTGTTATCTCTATCATTATTGTTGTTATCGTTATCATCATCACCATCATTATTGTTACTATCTTTGTTGTTACCATTATTGTTATTATTGTTGTTATTATTATTTTTATTACTACTACTACTACTACTATCATTATTATCACTATTATTATTATTACCATTATTACCAATATTAGTATCATTATCGGTATTATTATTGTTACCGTTGTTATAATTGTTATTATCATTATCATTATTACTATCACTCAAAGAGAATGCCTTCGCAATAAGAAATTTAGAGATGTATTTATGTGCACGTTGTTGCGTTTGTGTTGTGTCAATAGCTTTCTATTGTTGCACTGAATGCATTGCAACAAATATATAAAGGGTATGAAGGAGAGTGAATGTCTTCAAGAAAAAATAATGATAAGTGAAAAAGTATGAATATCTTCTAAAAAAAAAAAATAATGATAAGTGAAAAAGTATGAATATCTTCTAAAAATAATAATAATAATAAGTGAAAAAGTATGAATATCTTCTAAATAATAATAATAATAGATTAAAAAAATAGAAATATCTGACCAGTTTCGATTATATTTTTAATTATTTCTATTTATCTTTTTTTTTTTTTAAGATATTAATTCTCATTCAGACCTTTTTACTATTCTTATTCATTGTTATTTTTAGAAGATATTCATTCTTATTCATACTCTTTTTTTCTTTCTTTCTTTCATTTTAATTTAAATTCATGCTGTTGCCTTTTTTCAGACTATTTTACCGCGGCAGTTCAAAAGTTCAACTCAACAACATTTGCCTTCAAGAACTCCATTAAGAAACTGGACCTTGATAAGTGAGTCCCTTTTGGGTGATGTGAAGCTTCCTTGCCAATTTTCGTGTCGTTTTCTTTTTGATCTGATTTATGCTTTTCGGGGGAACTTTGAAGAAGAATTGAGGTTGGATATATATGTGTATATGTGTGTATGTATTTATGTATATGTAAGTGTGTGTGTACATACACGCGCACAAACACACACAATCACACACACACACACACACACACACACACACACACACACACACACACACACACACACACACACACACACACATATATATATATACACACATATATATTATGTGCATGTTTATCTTTATAGTTTACCTTGGTTTCTTAATTTCTCTCCATTAATTTCATTTGTTTTAGCATCATATAATTGTTAATTTATTAAAAATCTTAATCTTTTTTTCTTAGTCGTTTGATCGACTTCTGAGAATGACTATTTAATCACGAATCAGTTGATGAGGAGAGCTAATTACTGTTTCATTAGTAATCATAAAGTCAGTTAATTGTTTTACAGAGTGATGATGATTAATCCTTGTTCATTTAGTAGTTACAAATTTGTATTAGTTATTTGAATGTTTGATTAAGATAATTACGAATAACAAAGTCATTCCATTAATTTATTTCAAATTTATGCAATTTATCTCTTTGTTAATGACGTCTTTACCAACGTATCCATTTAACTATTATGATTGTCTATTACCAATTATCTGTTAATACTGCTATCCCCATCATTTATTTTCTTCATTACTGTCAGCCTTTTATTGACACTTTCATTCAATCTGATTATTTTTTTATCATCATTTTCCTTATCTTCTTTCTGTTAACCATAGCATTATCATACCTCACCCATTTAATCATTTAATTAACTCTTTCAGTCCATTAGTAGCTCGACAACTTAACGACCATTTAATAATTACTGTATGATTAACTTCATTATTCATTTAGTCTTTATTTTAACTAAGCCAATTAGTAATTCCACGCACTAATGGCCTTAAAGCCAATTAATTATCCACTTAATTACCCATTTTCTCTGCTCTTTCAGCCCATTAGCAGTCCGACGCGTTAACGACCAATTAATGATGGTTGAGAGAGCGTTTATCGACCCGCGAGGACTTCCTGGTCGCCCGGATTATAAGTAAGGGCATTTTTACTTTTCCCTTGTGTGTGCACCATCGCCATCACTACCATAATCACCATCACCATCATCCTCACCTCAACCATCATCATCGTCATCCCCTCAACCATCAACATCATCACTACCATAATAACCATCATCATCCTCACCTCAACCACCATCATCGTCATCACCTCACCATCATCATCATCACTACCATAATCACCATCATCGTTATCACCTCAACCATCATCATCGTCATCACCACCACCATCGCTATCACCAAAATCTTCATCACCATCAACAGTATTATCAGTATCATCACCACCACCATTATTATCACTATCAAGCTTCCCTGGCTATGACAACAGTGATAGTGATGATGATTATGGTGATGATGGTGATAGTGACGACGATGGTAGTGATGATGATTATGATGACAGTGATGACAACGATAGTGACGATGATGACGTTGGCGGTGTTTATGGTCATGGCAATGATAGTGATGGCGACGGCGACGAACATAGCGATGGCGATGAAGCTGAATCTCCCCTTGTCCCTCTTCAGCCACGTGGTGACGGCGCCGAGCAAGAACGACGCCTACTCCGGCACGGCCTTCGCTGGCCTGTCTGACACCCTGTTCAGCCTACAGGAAGCGCCGGATGACCTGCGACCTAACCTGTGGGTGACCTTCTCCCAGCACCTGGCTGCTGTGACCCACGCCCTGGAAACGGCCAGCAGAGTTTTGACTGATGACCTGTGGTAGCTTTTTCCCCCCATGTGATTTTCTCTTTTCTTTCTCTCTCTTCTCTCTCTCTCTCTCTCTCTCTCTCTCTCTCTCTCTCTCTCTCTCTCTCTCTCTCTCTCTCTCTCTCTCTCTCACACACACACACACACTCCCCTACATTTTCACTCCTGCTTCTCCTCTCTTCCTTTCTGTCATTGTTTTCCTTCTCTCCCTACATTTCTCCTTTCTCTTCAAATTTCTGTTCTACAAATCTGTAGCACTGATTTTCTTGATTTTAACTTTTCCTTTATGTTAGCCTAGCTTAGCCTCAAAACCTTTCTTTTATTTGTTCATCTTTATCTGTTTTTCCTTTCTATATACTGTTGCCCTTCCCTTCCTTCTACCTCACTCCCCCTTTTTCTCACTACTCTTGCCCTTTATTCTATGGCACCTATTCTATAGATCTACCTTCCCTGGATCTACCCTGTCTGTGCTGGCCTTTCTCTTGCCTATACTTTATCTCTATCTGCCCTCATCCCTGGTCTCCCCCTGCCTCTCCTTTATCCAAACCCTTGTTTCTACGTCCCTTTTTATGTTAAGCAGGGTGATTAGTATTGTCCATTATATGTGTTCATTTTTAGCGTTTTATTGATGTCCTTTTGATACTCCGTGTTATGCCATAAACATTTGTATCTGCACTTTCACTTTTATTGTTTTTCCTGTTCCTGTGCAAATTCTTCCTTTCTTTCTCTCCCTCTCTCTCTCTCTCACTCTCTCTCTCTCTCTCTGTCTCTCTGTCCCTCTCTCTGTCCCTCTCTCTTTTTCTGTCTTTGTCTCTGTCTGTCTGTCTGTCTCTCTCTCTCTATCTCTCTCTCTCTCTCTCTCTCTCTCTCTCTCTCTCTCTCTCTCTCTCTCTCTCTCTCTCTGTATTTTAAATAATTTTTGTAAGAAAGTTGATGTACGTCTTGCCTCCCTTCCCGCCTATATAAGGGAACCATTTCTGCTTAATAAAGAAGTGTCAATTCGAACGTGCGTTTGTGTGCTCCTCCCCATGGATCCTACAGTGATTTGCCGACGGACAGGGACGAGAAAAGTTGTATCTGAGCCTCATTCTTGCCAATATCAGGAGAAGCCGGTCATGCTAATTAGTTTTTGATGTGCAGTGATAGTTATATAAGCGCCTATACTGTTACCTCAGACACCCCATTCTTCTCATGAGGGCCTGTAGGGGATTTTTATTTCACCTTTGCTTTTTTTTCGTTTGTTTTAAGGAGTAATCAGGCCCCCCCCCCTATCCTGGCCCTTATGCCTTTTATCCCGCTTCCGTGGCATCGCGAAAGGGAGAGGGAAGGAAAAGGGAGAGCGAGAGAGGGAGAGGGAAGGGGAAGGGGAAGGGAGAACGAGAGAGGGAGAGGGAAGGGAGAACGAGAGAGGGAGAGGGAAGGGAGAACGATAGAGGGAGAGGGAAGGGAAGGGAGAACGACAGAGGGAGAGGGAAGGGAGAACGAGAGAGGGAGAGGGAAGGAAAAGGGAGAGCGAGAGAGGGAGAGGGAAGGGGAAGGGGAAGGGAGAACGAGAGAGGGAGAGGGAAGGGAGAACGAGAGAGGGAGAGGGAAGGGAAGGGAGAACGACAGAGGGAGATGGAAGGGAGAACGACAGAGGGAGAGGGAAGGGGAAGGGAGAACGAGAGAGGGAGAGGGAAGGGAAGGGAGAACGACAGAGGGAGAGGGAAGGGGAAGGGAGAACGAGAGAGGGAGAGGGAAGGGAAGGGAGAACGACAGAGGGAGAGGGAAGGGAAGGGAGAACGAGAGAGGGAGAGGGAAGGGAAGGGAGAACGAGAGAGGGAGAGGGAAGGGGAAGGGAGAACGAGAGAGGGAGAGGGAAGGGAAGGGAGAACGAGAGAGGGAGAGGGAAGGGAAGGGAGAACGAGAGAGGGAGAGGGAAGGGGAAGGGAGAGCGAGAGATGGAGAGGGAAGGGGAAGGGAGAACGAGAGAGGGAGAGGGAAGGGAAGGGAGAACGAGAAAGGGAGAGGGAAGGGGAAGGGAGAACGAGAGAGGGAGAGGGAAGGGAAGGGAGAACGAGAGAGGGAGAGGAAGGGAAGGGAGAACGAGAGAGGGAGAGGGAAGGGAAGGGAGAACGAGAGAGGGAGAGGGAAGGGAAGGGAGAACGAGAGAGGGAGAGGGAAGGGAAGGGAGAACGAGAGAGGGAGAGGGAAGGGAAGGGAGAACGAGAGAGGGAGAGGGAAGGGAAGGGAGAACGAGAGAGGGAGAGGGAAGGGAAGGGAGAACGAGAGAGGGAGAGGGAAGGGAAGGGAGAACGAGAGAGGGAGAGGGAAGGGAAGGGAGAACGAGAGAGGGAGAGGGAAGGGGAAGGGAGAACGAGAGAGGGAGAGGGAAGGGAAGGGAGAACGAGAGAGGGAGAGGGAAGGGAAGGGAGAACGAGAGAGGGAGAGGGAAGGGAAGGGAGAACGAGAGAGGGAGAGGGAAGGGAAGGGAGAACGAGAGAGGGAGAGGGAAGGGAAGGGAGAACGAGAGAGGGAGAGGGAAGGGAAGGGAGAACGAGAGAGGGAGAGGGAAGGGAAGGGAGAACGAGAGAGGGAGAGGGAAGGGAAGGGAGAACGAGAGAGGGAGAGGGAAGGGAAGGGAGAACGAGAGAGGGAGAGGGAAGGGGAAGGGAGAACGAGAGAGGGAGAGGGAAGGGAAGGGAGAACGAGAGAGGGAGAGGGAAGGGGAAGGGAGAACGAGAGAGGGAGAGGGAAGGGAAGGGAGAACGAGAGAGGGAGAGGGAAGGGAGAACGAGAGAGGGAGAGGGAAGGGAAGGGAGAACGAGAGAGGGAGAGGGAAGGGAAGGGAGAACGAGAGAGGGAGAGGGAAGGGAGAACGAGAGAGGGAGAGGGAAGGGAGAACGAGAGAGGGAGAGGGAAGGGAAGGGAGAACGAGAGAGGGAGAGGGAAGGGAAGGGAGAACGAGAGAGGGAGAGGGAAGGGAAGGGAGAACGAGAGAGGGAGAGGGAAGGGAAGGGAGAACGAGAGAGGGAGAGGGAAGGGGAAGGGAGAACGAGAGAGGGAGAGGGAAGGGAAGGGAGAACGAGAGAGGGAGAGGGAAGGGGAAGGGAGAACGAGAGAGGGAGAGGGAAGGGGAAGGGAGAACGAGAGAGGGAGAGGGAAGGGGAAGGGAGAACGAGAGAGGGAGAGGGAAGGGAAGGGAGAACGAGAGAGGGAGAGGGAAGGGGAAGGGAGAACGAGAGAGGGAGAGGGAAGGGGAAGGGAGAACGAGAGAGGGAGAGGGAAGGGAGAACGAGAGAGGGAGAGGGAAGGGGAAGGGAGAACGAGAGAGGGAGAGGGAAGGGAAGGGAGAACGAGAGAGGGAGAGGGAAGGGAAGGGAGAACGAGAGAGGGAGAGGGAAGGGAGAACGAGAGAGGGAGAGGGAAGGGAAGGGAGAACGAGAGAGGGAGAGGGAAGGGGAAGGGAGAACGAGAGAGGGAGAGGGAAGGGAGAACGAGAGAGGGAGAGGGAAGGGGAAGGGAGAACGAGAGAGGGAGAGGGAAGGGGAAGGGAGAACGAGAGAGGGAGAGGGAAGGGAAGGGAGAACGACAGAGGGAGAGGGAAGGGAAGGGAGAACGAGAGAGGGAGAGGGAAGGGAGAACGAGAGAGGGAGAGGGAAGGGAAGGGAGAACGAGAGAGGGAGAGGGAAGGGAAGGGAGAACGAGAGAGGGAGAGGGAAGGGAGAACGAGAGAGGGAGAGGGAAGGGGAAGGGAGAACGAGAGAGGGAGAGGGAAGGGGAAGGGAGAACGAGAGAGGGAGAGGGAAGGGAAGGGAGAACGAGAGAGGGAGAGGGAAGGGAAGGGAGAACGAGAGAGGGAGAGGGAAGGGAAGGGAGAACTAGAGAGGGAGAGGGAAGGGGAAGGGAGAACGAGAGAGGGAGAGGGAAGGGAAGGGAGAACGAGAGAGGGAGAGGGAAGGGAAGGGAGAACGAGAGAGGGAGAGGGAAGGGGAAGGGAGAACGACAGAGGGAGAGGGAAGGGGAAGGGAGAACGACAGAGGGAGAGGGAAGGGGAAGGGAGAACGAGAGAGGGAGAGGGAAGGGAAGGGAGAACGAGAGAGGGAGAGGGAAGGGGAAGGGAGAACGAGAGAGGGAGAGGGAAGGGAAGGGAGAACGACAGAGGGAGAGGGAAGGGAAGGGAGAACGAGAGAGGGAGAGGGAAGGGGAAGGGAGAACGAGAGAGGGAGAGGGAAGGGAAGGGAGAACGACAGAGGGAGAGGGAAGGGAAGGGAGAACGAGAGAGGGAGAGGGAAGGGAAGGGAGAACGAGAGAGGGAGAGGGAAGGGAAGGGAGAACGACAGAGGGAGAGGGAAGGGAGAACGAGAGAGGGAGAGGGAAGGGAAGGGAGAACGACAGAGGGAGAGGGAAGGGAAGGGAGAACGACAGAGGGAGAGGGAAGGGAGAACGAGAGAGGGAGAGGGAAGGGAGAACGAGAGAGGGAGAGGGAAGGGAGAACGAGAGAGGGAGAGGGAAGGGAGAACGAGAGAGGGAGAGGGAAGGGAGAACGAGAGAGGGAGAGGGAAGGGAGAACGAGAGAGGGAGAGGGAAGGGAAGGGAGAACGAGAGAGGGAGAGGGAAGGGAAGGGAGAACGAGAGAGGGAGAGGGAAGGGAAGGGAGAACGAGAGAGGGAGAGGGAAGGGAAGGGAGAACGACAGAGGGAGAGGGAAGGGAAGGGAGAACGAGAGAGGGAGAGGGAAGGGAAGGGAGAACGACAGAGGGAGAGGGAAGGGAAGGGAGAACGACA